TGTGTTTACTGCGAAGGAAACCACCTCGCGAGCTACAGAGGATGCCCAGTCTACAAGGAATTATATAATAAAAGATTCCCTAAAATCATGGACACAACCAATCACCCACGAAATGCCCATAACTACACTACTCCATCAACTTCATACGCCCAGGCGGACCGTAAAAACCAAAACAATGAAACGATACATGACTGACGATACCACGTTACAAAATAGTATTCCCGGCTCTTAAAACATTGATAACATTTACAGACTGGAAAAACTATTTGAAAAACAAACGGAGCAAATCAATGACCTACTCGTTACTAACAATTGTCATAAATAAACTAACATCTAATACATCAAAATAAAACCACTGGGTATAGCACTCTGGAACGCCAATGGTCTAGCCCAGCATAAAAACGAGCTAGAATTCTTCTTAAATAACCAAGACATACAAGTAATGCTTATTTCTGAAACGCATTTTACAAATAAAAATTTCCTAAAAATACATGGATATAAACTCCATCATACATATCTTAGTGGAAAAGGGGGCAATTATCATTAAATCCACTGTGAAACACTATAAACTCTCTGCGTTCGAATCAAACTACCTCCAACAAATGTGGCAATAGAAGACTGGCATAGTTCAGTTACACTGTCTGCGGTAAGTATACTGTCCCTCTAAACACAATCCCTTCAAAGACAGTTTTGACCACTTCTTCGAAAACTTGGGAGGAAGATTCATCGCAGGCGGCGACTTTAATGCCAAACATCAACAATGGGGAAGCAGAATCATCAACACAAGAGGTAGGAACCTCTTAAAAAGCATGAACTCTAACAAACTCAATTACCTAAGTTTAAACGAACCCACATATTGGCCAACCGACCCAAATAAACTACCCGATCTGCTGGACTTCTTTGTGATTAAAAATATCTCTCCGAATTACACAAAAATCAGCTCTTCGCTAGAACTTTCCTCAGATCATACACCTGCAGTTATTAATTCATCGATTATTGAAAACCAGCCAAACGGACAAATTCACAACCAACTTACAAACTGGCACGAATTTAGGAAAGCCTTGCCCAACACATCCTTATCAATCCCGTTGTCGTTAAGAACAGAGAATGATATTGACGCAGCAGTGGATTATTTCAGCAACAACATAATAAATGCGATCCGTTCCTCTTTACCCAATCAGGAATCCATAAGAAATCAGCCTTATCCGGACTATATAAAGAGAAAAATCTCAGAAAAACATAAACTCAGAAGAATATGGCACTCTAGTAGATTACCTGAAGACAATAAAGCTACGGTAAAACTAACGAAAGTTCTCCACAATTTCAAAAACTACTATTTTCAAAAATATCCAGGGAACTTGTCTCCCTCGGTGGACGCAGACCACTCGCTCTGGAAAGCAGCCAGAAGGCTCACTCGTCCACCCCAAACAATTCCTCCCATTCGCACTACGCAAGGAGGATACAGATAAGGCAAATATGTTTGTTCTCCACCTAACTGAAGTATTTAAACCACATTGTCTATCATCCAACTTAGAAGGAGCAGAAATCCTAGATTACCTACAATCTCCTTTTCAGATGTTTCTTCCTATCCTATCTTTTACAGCCGGAGAGGTGAGAGATATGGTGCAGCTTCTCAACTTCAAAAGAGCACCGGGGCACGACAGAATAACTAACAAAACGATCAAAGAGCTCCCCAAAAAAGGAATTGCATTTCTCACATCGATATTTAAGATTATAATATATTAAGATATTTAAGATTATAATATATTAAGATATTTAAGATTATAATATATTAAGATTATAATAATTTATAGACGCAATCCTTCGTCTAGGGTATTAAAATCTTAGAAACTTTCAATTATCCATAAGCCGGGAAAGCCGATCCACGAGGCAAACTCATATCGTCCAATCAGTTTACTGTCAAACATTTCTAAGTTATTTGAAAAATTATTCTCTCAAGCGCCTGCATTCCATATTAGAAGAATTGAAGATTATTCCTCACCACCAGTTTGGCTTTCGTAAGCGGCATTCAATAATAGAACAAGTCCACCGAATAGTATATGAAATCAGTCAAGACCTAAAAGAAAAAAGAATACTGTTCCGCAGTGTTCCTAGACATCCAACAGGCATTGGATAAGGTATGGCACGCTGGACTAATGTACAAACTTAAAAATACCCTACCTCATCCTTACTACTCCATATTTCAATCATACCTAAATAATAGAACTTCCACAAGGCAGTGTCCTTGGACCCCTCTTATATTCCCTGTATACAGCCGATCTACCTATTTCATCAAAGGTAATCACTGCAACATTCGCGGATGATACAGCTCTATTATCATCTCATAAAGATCCGCAAAAAAATCTGCATCTCTTCAACGAAGCCTCAACATCTTGGATAAATGATTCTACAAATGGCGATTTAAAGTAAACGAAAATAAATCAACGCACATTACATTTTCCCTACGAAGACAAAATTTCCCGCCAGTAACTTATAACTCAATAATTCCGACCAAAGATTCGGTTAAATACATGGGATTGCACCTCGACAGAAAATTAACGTGGAAACAGCATATCAAAGCTGAATGTAACCAACTGAAGTTAATAGTTAAACAATATTACTGGCTCTTGGTTAGACGATCAAATCTAAGCCTGGAAAATAAACTACTACTCTACAAAGTCATCTTGAAACCCATCTGGACCTACGGAATTCAACTTTGGCGTACAGCGAGCAACTCCAATATCGAAATACTCCAACGCTTCCAATCAAAAACAGCAAGAATAATCACAAATGCACCTTGATATGTAACAAACGAAACAATCCACCGTGATCTCAGGATCCCCACAATTAAAGAAGAAATATCAAAACATGGCAACAAATACAACTCACGCATGAATAATCACCCTAACCCTTTGGTCATTCAACTGTTGGATTCTACAGTACACACACGAAAACTAAAAAGATACTACCCTCTGGACCTTTACTATAGATTTATATAAACATCCGAACTTATATATCTCATTAATCAATACTAGTAGTAGTAACTACTCTGCATGTCACTGATTCACGCCAGCTTACTCATAATCCTCAATGAGGATTGATTGTAATGTTTTTAATGAAAAAAAAAAAAAAAGTTTTGCCTATTTTGCTTATTATGTCAATCTTATTGAAAATGTGTTACGTATAATACATGTAATTATACGTAAATATTTTTCAATTTACGGATCACGAATAATTGTTACGAAAAATAAATATAAAAGTCAAGTAAATAATATATGTAAATTAATTATAAGCAACAATTATATATAATGTCATGATGGTCATTAAATGTTAAATACAACGTCATTTATATGGTCATTTAATATTAAATATTAAATACAAAGTCATTAAATATTAAATATTATTTTGTATTATTTTGTTCATAATATGAAAATTTTTGATAAATATAATTCAAATTATTTTAGTGATTGTTACAATCTTGAAATCGTTAATCTTATATTTTTCTACAATGAAATTTAATATCAATATAATTTGAACGTTACATTATCTTTTTTAACATCATAATATAACTTAAAAGTTATTATACATATCCATATATTCACATTCTGAAAATATTATTTTGTACACATATATAATCTATAAAATTTTATTTTGCATATTTGAATCTGTAGTATATTTCATTATTATTCCATTACAAAAATATCGAATGACTTATTTTAACAATTATTATTTCCCAAATCAAGTAAATAACTAGAATTAATAAAACTAATAATCTACTTCTGTAAGTATACAAAACTATTCTGGCTAATTCGAAGCTCGTTTGAATCTTTCGTAGTAGAAATATTATTATATTATTTTTCTCAATATTATTTCTTATATGCAAAAATTATTATCAAATATGCACAAAATTATTATATAGATAATATAAAAGTTCAGTTTATCAAGTTCTTAAAAATTTTATATTCATAGTATGTAGAGTTGAGCTGCAGTATCATTATAATTAATTATGTTGGATTGCATAATGAAAAAGCCGAAAAGCATTACTAAAATAATAAATAATAAAAACCAAATATATTTTTTTAACAAACAGGAAATCTAAGAAAATGAAATAAAAACGGTACACATTATGGTAGTTATTTACATTAGCGATTCAATATCGATTTTGACCTTGAAATATGTTGTTGGAGACATGATTCTGAATAATTTTTTTTCTATAAATGTTACCAGCTCGGCTTTAGTTTCTAAGATGTCTACAAAAATGTACTTTTTAACGAGCAAACTTCACTGATGTCAATAATTTTTCGATTTATAGCCGATTTATAGCCGATATTCGATAGTCCCATCAATAATTTTTTAAATAAAATATAGGTATTAATTTAGGCTAGATATATTTATCGAAACTCAAATGAGTAAAAATAAAATATATTTTTATAAATATCTCAGAAACTAAAACCGAGCAACGGTGATATGCATAGACAAAAGTTGTTCAAAATGATGAGCTTGACAAAATATTTCAGGGTCATCAAAATGTAAGGAATCATTAATATAAATAATACCCGCGTTGTTAACATTACAACTATCAAAATAGTCAAAATAACCAATTCGTAATTTTTCGTAGATTGTAATATTAATTGTAATCGATGCATATTATGAATAATAATTATAATTAAATTAAATGTAACAATTTTCAAAAATTTGAATGATTTTTTTAATAAAATGTATCAGAAAAAGCGAAAGAAACAGAAAAAAAGTTTTTAATGTAATAAAGAACACAGATTTTTATTCATATTTATAAATTTTATATTTTAATTATTGGTAGTTATAGTATTAAAATGTTTTAAAATTCTTTCAATTTACTGATGCGGAACTAAAAACTAGACGCACGTAAGTTACTGTTTAAAAGAAATTTCGGAAAATATGACGAGTAAAATTTATAGCATATATCTGATCCATATATACAAAGCTACACTTCAAAAGGGATAAAAGTACAATACACTTACCTGTTTATCTGGTTCTGTGCTTTTGACGGTCATGACACGATCGCAGTAGCTACTCTCCAACAAAATAACACCGCTGGGTCTCGAATAAGTTTCGTTTTCGTAATAGAATAGCAAATTCTGTAATGTATAGACATCGTTATACACGTATGAAACAAAACGGATCAATATGAAGTTTTAAAGCAAACTTACGATTTTTTAAAGCGGGAGGAAAAGAACTCATGTCCGATCATATCATTGTAAATAATATAACTTGGAACTTCAAATAATTTCTAGAGTGAAAAACGAAAAAAGGAGATGAAAAGTTTTCAGTTGTAAAATTTCATTTCATCGAAATGTACAATTCTATATACTTTTTTTTTTTAAAGCCATGTTATATAAATATACAGAGTGTCCTATCAAAATCTGAACATCTAAATATTTCCTTTATATTTAGCATTTATATAATATTTGAATCAATTTCAACATTATGCTTTCTTATGAAAGAACTATGTATTTCTAAGACTATGTATTTTCGTCAACGGACTTTGAGCATTTAACATAGAAAATAACAATACAATGTTTCAGAATTTTATTTTCAAGGTTCAATGTACGTTTTAATATGTACGTCTTAATACGTGCTGCATGATGTAATAAAAAATATGCTATCTGGCAAAAAATACCGATGACCCAAAAAGAAAATAGTCATAGAAAAAGAAATGTTTCATATACAATATTATCTATTAAATTCATTTGAAACATTCTTCATATTATTGAAAATAAAAGAGACATATAAACATTCAAACTTGGATGAGATACTCCGGAGGTATATACATATGTATAATACAGCTTTCCATATTAATAGCGAAACAAAAGTATTCCGTTAATGGAATTTTCAGATCTAGACCATTTTTTTGATGTTAAATTGCATATATCCGAATAAAAATATTTAAAAATATTATATTTTCTTGAATATTGAATTATCTAGATTTTTGACATAAATAATATAAATTTTGTGAAATTAATATACATTCTTTTTACGCTTGAAACTGTTGAAATCTTATAAATATTCTAAATGTCTTGAATTTCATCATTTGTATTTAAATAATAGAATTATGTTTACATCTTTTCATTCATAAATGAAACATGATTTATCATGGCATTAAACATAACTTCATTGGGATTATTTTTTTTAATAAAATTTTGTATTTTATATCTTAGTAAATTCTTTTTGTAATTTAAACGACAAATATGTAAAGCATATGGTAATACATATAAAACAATTTGGTACAAAAAGAAGCATTTAAATATTCTGTTCAAATAACAGAATGTTCGGATAGTAGAGTATTTGAATAATGAGATTTCGGATTAAGCATTATTTGTATATATGTAGATATATAATTGGGATAAGTGCGTATGTGAAATTATCTAATATCAGTTTTTACAATACAGACATAGATTTTCTAATATCAGTTATTACAATATCAACTATAGATATTAATAGCAGATATAATATCAATAGTCAGTTCTTTAGCTAAAGTATTTTAGTACATGGATTATTGTATATTACTAAAAAATATGCAGAATATGTATTAAATACATATTAAACTAATTATGAGACACAAACAGGATAAAATACACCCAAAATACTCCTTATACGGTAACCAGTATCTTATACATATGTATATATGTGATGTATACATTTTTATTATGCTATTTTTTTTTATATTACTGAAATTTCAATCAATTATATTTAAATAAAAATCGAAGTTATAACTATATACATTTTTGTTTCGCAAAAATACAAAGAAGTTTGTTTTGTCTAAATAAAATAAAATAAATAAATAAAGGGTGTTTCAAACTGTTGATTATTATATATCAGGACTACTAATTTTCAGAAAAACATTTATGATATTTAAATTTGAAAATTAAATGTTGTTTTAGATATAATTATTATTCCATTGTATATTTCAAAATATATATCTTTGTATTATAGATACACAAGCAGGACAAGCTGTATCGTTTAGATGGTTAGAGATAGAAAAAAATGTAGAAAAAAGTAAAAATTAAATAATATTCAATCGAAGTATGATCTGGAAATAATTTCATTTCTTTTGTTTTGTGCAGTTGCATCTTATGAAAATCTATATATTTTGATGCAGTTTTTAAATTTCTTCGAAAAACACACTTATGCCCTAAATCTATAATAGTTAAGAAGTTATTACAATCGAAAGTTTGCTGAATTAATTCTGCCATGTGTATCCACCACGTGTCGTGGGATACTTGCGCTATAACAAATGTTTGAATGGTCCTATATTGCAGTCTTCTTCACGTTGTTTGCGCCTTTTTGTATGTTTTGATATCAATCCTTGATATTTCTTGCCAATTTATGTTTAGACACATTGTATATACGCGAGAATTTTCCAACGAAAATGTATGAATGAGCAGAAATATCAATTAACAAACTTTTGACTTGCGATCTTATCTTGACCAAAATTTGTCTTCTAGTTTTTGCTCGCCATTCAAAACGAAATGTGTGTGTGTGTTAATATATAATATACAATAAATATATATAATATAATATATATTATATATTTATATTGAATAATATATATTTTATAATATATAATAAATAAATAAATAAACATATATATTCAAAAAAAGTACTTTAACTTTTATTTTAACAAGTAAAATTCAGCAGTCAAATAAATTTCATTAATTAATTAATTTTGCTGATTCACGCGAAATTCACTTGAAATTACCATGGAATAATTTCCTTATCATATCCAAAGAATCAAAGAAAACAAAAATTACACGATGACACGTTTCCTCCCTTGAATATGAAGTTTCGAAAGGATGATTAATTAAAAAAATCGCACTATCTCTCACCTGATATAAAACGAACCATCGTAATTGCCACTTGGCTAAATCGGCAGTGCGTTTGTGCAAATATCCACTTAACGAATGATCGTAACGAGCTTTCTCCGCGAGCATGGCGAGCTGCGAATCATTCACCCGCACTGCAACATAGAACGCATCGCGAAGTGATATATTGTAAGCTTCAATCCGCAATTAGTATATTCGAACACGATGTTTCCAGACGCGTTACTCGTTTTGATATTGTTTAGTTATTGTGTTATTGTTCGTCTTTAATGAATTTATTTTCCACATTAGCAGCCGATTTAATCATAACGAAACATTTTGCTTGAAGACTCTACCAAAAAACAGACGAAAATATCGAGGTTTTAGCACTTCTCTCAGACAACAAAAATTTATTTTTTTTTTCAATGTATAACGTTACAGCTTCATATTTTCTCAAATAAATATAAGACTTAGAAAATTTTAATTCGCAATGCGACATAACTAACAATAACCAGCATATATAGGAGCATTATTTAAATAAATTTCAAATTGATATTTTCTGCTTTTCCTGTAGATCCTTCAATTATATATTTTCTTACATATCAAAATAATTATAAAATTCATAAAATTTTAATTTGAAATGCAATAGCCAGTGATAAAAAGCATACACAGAAACAGAGGAAAATATATTCAACTCAAAATTCATTGAAATTGACAATCCTCTCTTTTTCCGTAAATCCTTCGCTCGAGAAAATATTTTCATGTCTCGTTTCTCTCGATTTTTTCTGCAGTAAACGTCCAATATTTTATCGCTAAACTTCGTGAATTCAAAACTTTTTATTAATATTCTCGCGAGAAAGATGCAAGGTAAATTGAGTTACAAAACTGTTGGAAAATAAAAACTGAGTGGCCGTTTTATTTCTTGTATATTCCATTAAATTCTATTATGAATAACAATTGCATATGAAAGTTTAATTTCCCGAAATGTAAAACATCAATAACAACAGCATTATTCAGTAATACTAATGCCCGCACGGATTTAATTGGCATATAGAGTTAATTAAAGTATCTTCATCACTTTTGCGCCTCATTTGAATATTTATGAGATAAATAAATTAACACGTGACATATGTAGTAACTCTGGTAAGTTTGCACATATTCAACGTTGAGTTACAAACGTTTTCATAAAATTTGAAAGATCATCCAATTGTGAATTCTATGGTATACAACATAACCTATACCATCGTTTCCGTTTCTATAATTATATAATTGTAATATTTCATTATTACGGTTTAACCCTCTGAAAGAGGATTTTTTTCAACAATTATCGCAATTACATAATTATTCTTGCTCTGATATAATATTAATTAAATTATTATTTTTAGAATATTTTTGAAACTAGGATAGATCCTAGTAGTAGAATATTATTCCATCGATCTTTCACATTTAGATCATATACATACAGTAACGGCCAGAAATCTATGTATACTAAATTTCTAACGTTCAAAAAATTGACGATGTTTAAACTGTTATAATTTCGTAACAAATCACACAATTAATCTGGACTTATTTTTAAGCAATCCTGGATTTTACTTTTTTCAAAAGTGTTTTTATATAATGTAATATGTAGGAAAGATACTTTTCTTCGAAAATGCCATAAATTCAAACGTTTCTTGAAACATCGAAAAATTTTTTTCCAGAACTGAATCCACCACGGATTTGAAAACTGAAACTTTTTCTTTGTAATAACCTCCTAAAATCTGTTGTATAATTTCCTTCACCAAGTTGATAAACTTTGAATATATTACGAAACAATGAAAATTTGACGAAATCTTTGAATTTTTTAAACTTTTGTCGTTTAACCGCAACGTCTAACTGGCCAACTAACTATAAGTGTCATTTCTATAGAAACTATCCATTACCATAAATAACTTTTGATAATGTATGCGTATAAGTGTATTTCTTTACTTATCAGAAAGTTATTTTTACTTTTCTGTAAATTACTCTATTTATACTAACACAGAATATTTCATTGAATTCACTTTGAAATTAACATGAGATAATTATTTCTTTTTAACCCTTTCAACCCTTAATCAAGTAGAACTATGAAATTTTTCGTCGTGTCAGCTGTATAGGATTACTTTGTCAATGCCAAATAGATTGCAATAGATTTCTAATGCAAATTCATATTTTGACAATAAAAAAAAAAAATATAATAGAAAATAGATATGAAATAGATATAAAAAAATATAAATGTGAATATACTAAAAAAAATTCAGAGATTCAGTAGACAAATTATTTTACAGCAATCATGATAGCAATGATAATTTATCAACCATCAAGCAGAAATTATATGTAGACTATAATTGTGACGACAGTTTCTATTATACATTCATTTGATATATGATATATTTGTTCTGCCAGTATATAGAAACAATTATTCATTTCACAACCACACATAAATATTACTTATAGGAACTTTTTATGAACATATCATATGCATTTGAACATTTTGTCATTTGTGAGTTACATAAAACATGAGTTAAAAACTTATGTTACAGACACGATTATTGGTCAAGTTTGCAACAAATTTCAAAATATATATAAAAATTACAAAATATACATAAAAATATTTAATACATTATTCAATTAACCAATTATCACTTATTAACAATATTTTATGAATTTATTATACACATATATATTATATAACAATTTTATTAACACTTTAGTGAGACCTAATTTCACTAATTAAGTTTGGAACAAATTTGAAGCTATATATACAAATTAAACGAATTTTTAAATTTATTATATTATATTTATTTATTAAATTTATTATATCTATTATAATTAATTATTTTTATTAGAAAATACAACAAAATTTAACAAATTATACATTGTATACATTTATACAATTATACATATATATATTGTAATAAATTTAATAAATATATAATAAAAATCAAATTTAAAATTTAAAAATATACATAGAAATTACAAAGTATGTACTTACAAAATGACTATTAATGAGGTATACTGATTTTTTACTAAATATCTTATAACTTCTATATACATTTTCAGATTTGATCCAAATTTCACCAACATCATGTATTTTATTACAGTAATAATGTTTTATGCATGTCAAAATGTTTTATAGACATTATTATTAAATAATACAGCTTATATGCCTACATAAATGTTCTTCCACTGTATAAAAAAAAACATTCCTCAATTAAGAGGATTTATTTACCATCTACATTACTGTAAAGAAACAGACAAAAATTACTATTTGAACTTGAAAAAATACAGAATTCACAAAAACAAAGAAACATTCTTGATCATATTTCTATCGTCACAATTTCAATAAGCGTAAAATAGTACTTTTAAAAAAGTAAAATTTTCCGCGTTTTTCGCACAAACAAATTATTTTTTAACAAAACCTCAAAACGAATTATTTTTTAATAATTTCAAAACGAAAAGCTGATTTTAAATATCAATCAATGTTAAACAAATCGCGCACATCTTATATTAAAAATTTAAGCAAAACAAACTTTTCAATTCAATCTTCGTATTTTATCAGACTGATATGTTTTTATAATATAAATCTGATCATAATACTTGTATGTACATAGAAAAAAAACATAGCAGAAAAATAAAATATAAAAATATCTTACTTTGTTTGTACATTTCTGCAAAAATCTATAAAATATGGACAAATATAAAAACATATAAATTATTCTATTATAAAAACATAAAATGTTCTATTATTCTATTATCATAAAATATTCTATTCAAATAAATAGAATATTTAAATTTTTATTTAAATAAACAAATTTCTATCTAAATAAAATTTTATTTAAAAATTTAGCGAAAATTTCAATCTAAAGCAGATTCAATTAAAAATTAATTTAATTAAAATATATTTAGTAGATGAAACAAATTTCTATTTAAATTTCTATTTAAATAAAATAATATTTAAATTTTTCTTCTTCTTTTTCTTTTCTTTTTTATCGCATTGACAGCGAAGTCATTAGCGACGACGGTGCCATTAAATGTGTGTAGTAGTTTGTTTTTGACAGATTTTAATACTCTTTCTGTCATTTTGAGAAGTCAGGTTATGTTGCGTTGATTCCGTATTTCTGTCTTTGGGTTTCTGTGGTGTGGTATTCATGCAGTATGTGGGTTATTGTTAATGGATGGTTATTGCAATGAGTGCAGGTGGGTGGTGTAGTTTTTTTAATTTTGTGTTCATGTGTCAGCTTGGTATAACCGGTTCTTAGGCATGTGATAATTATTCCTTCTTTCCTGTTGTTAAAGTTTGCTTGTGAAAGTCTTGAATACTTTTGTGTAGTTGGATGCTTTTAGTTGTTTTCCATGTATTGTTCCATTCATTTTTTGCTACTTTTTTACAATGGATTATTTGGTCGTCGCAGGAGATTGGAAGATGGTTGCAATTGTTAGTAAGTGAGGGAACTATGGCTTCTTTCGATGCTGTGTCGGCTTTTTCATTTCCTTGATCAGTTGGAATCCAGATGACTGTAGCGTTTGTGTTAGGTTGGTTGTGGTTTAGTTCTTGGTGGATATTAGTTGGTTTTCTTGATCATATGATTTCGTTAGGGATTTTGTAACGCTCATGGAGTCGGTATATATGACGATCTGGGCTTCGTTATTTGAGTGTACATGTTTGGCTTCCAGGATGGCATAAGTTTCGGCTGTGAAGATGGATGATGAAGAAAGGAGATTGTGTTTTTTTGTCTTTTTCTGTGATAATGACGTCTCCAGCTCCAGTGTCCGTTATTGATCCATCAGTGTAAATCTTGCTGTGTTGGGCGTAGTTGTTATTTAGTTATTTAAATTTTTATTTAACTATAGTTTATTCTTTTTATCTTATACAAATCTTATTTAAATTTCATTTAAATTCTCATTAATTACGTTAATTTTTTTAATTAATTATTCAATATTATTAAATCCCTTTTAAATAACATTTAATATTATTTTAATATTATTAAAATCCATATTATTTAAATTTCCATTAAATAAAATTCGGTAATCTAAAAATAAAAATGCTTCAGTTTTCATTGATAATATATTTATTTTCAAACTTAAAAATTGAACTCCTAACAATATGAATCTACATGAATATTATTTTTGTTAAACAATGAAATTTTTCACTGAAATACTTCTTGATTCAGCGTGGCGCTCTTTGCGAACTATTCAATATTCGATGATATTCGCATTCGAGACGCGATGAATATTTTTGAAAGATAAGTATAAGATATTTTGAAACATAAATATAGTATAGCGACCAAGTATATAAATTGAGTAATAAGTAGCTACCGCTTAGTTCACAACTTACCAGATCTTTGCATTTTTGGGCTGAGCATAATCACAGGTCGTTGGAAAAGGATACTTTCTTTGGATCCGCGCGATAAATATTGATTGTCCAGAATCCTCTGTATAGAATGCGTTTATCGTGTCGGATTTCTTGAACCTCTTTCCATCCACCGTTCTAAATGAGACAAATAAGAAAGAGAAAGCAATTTTTCAAGCTGTTCAATTTTTTGAATTGTCAACAACTTTGCATGCACTTTGTAATAAATTATTGTTCTATTTCTTTTGGAACAGGTATCGTGTACACATACATATGTATAAAGCAATGAGTAAAATAAATGATATTACATGTTTTAGTAATTATTTACAAAGAGATATACTTTATCGATTTCAATGGCCTTGAAATATGTTTTCGGGGATGCAATTCTAAACAATTTTTGCTCATACATGTAACCATTGTTTTCCTTTAATTTTCCAAATATTCGCAAAATTATATATATAATGCTATACACAATATTTTCGTGTTTGTGTTACATTTCGATTGAGGTTAAATTAGAGGTTCAGGTTTTATTTCATAGAAACAATTATGTCCGTTCGATGAATCGAGTAAATAAAAATAAGCAAGGTATCAGTATCTCACTGATATTTGATATATTATAAATCTAACCTAATAACTTTATTTCGCAACTAAAAATTGTGCATTATGAAGTAAAAGTAGATGAGAGAGACTTTGTAAATAATTACAAAATTTTAAATAAAGTTAAAGAAAAAAAGTAATAGCGGGAGAATTTGTGTAGTTTAATGATTCTATCTTTTAATCTATCTTCTCGTAATTTGAATTTTATAATGAGCAGAATGGTGCGTTTCCGTAATAACTTTTTCTTGCGTAAAAATATTTAATAGGTGAAACAAATCTTTATTTAAATTTCTTTTTATTTGTATATAAATATACAAATAAATTTAAATAAAATTTGAATAAAATCCATGATTTGAAATAATAGATTTGAATTAAATCCATAAATAAATAAATTTATTTAGGTAAAAATCCATATCAATCTTGTCATTATTTTCTTAAACATTTTTATTAGGAATAACAAGCATATAGTTAGATAAATTCGATTCATAGTTTAATAATAATTGACATTTGTTTAACATTGTCTGTGCTAGAATTAGTTTATTTATTAAAGGTTCAAAAACATATTAGAATACACTGAATAAGTATATCAAATAGTATGTATTTAGAAATGAATACATTCTTAATTTGTTCCTATATGTCCCTCATTCAGTACTAAATTTTAAGTTTAAAGTAGGATCAAATTTAATATATTACGCATCAACTTTTTTTATTGCTTTATTTCGTAGATAATTACTATTTATTCCCTGATTTATTTCGTGAAATCGATATTCAATTATTCCACATACGAGTAACAAAATGTCAAATATTCAGGAAAATGATACATTTAGTAAATGTATGGCTTGTAAAATATTGTAAACAATTTTTTATTTCTTAACTGACATCAATGGAAATCATAAGAATTTATAATTTCTTAATTCCGAAATCTTTAATTTAACTTATTTGTATTTTTAATTTTATCTGTAATTTGTTAAAATTCATGTGATTTCAAATCTTTAACATTGCAACTAAATAAATTAGATCTAAATATAAATTTGTTCTAATTGGTTCTCATTAAACATTATAATTAGTACTTTATTATAAGTATTTTATATATTGTAAAAAAATCCAAATATCTATTAATTTATGGACTTTTAAATTAATAGATATTTTACATAATTTTACATTTATACATTTTTTTAATTGATAGACATTCTCACACTTTTACATTTAAATTTTACATAAATAATCATTTGCAATCTATAATATTTAACACTAATTTCTATCACATAAAAATATAAAATCAAAACACAAAATGAAACTGAATTTATTTTAAATTTTAGTAATATAACATAAGTATCTATAACTGTATTGAAACGTACCATTTCTAATAACTTATAATTACCTGCATGTATCTGTTTTCTGCGTTTAACTACTATTGTCGGTTATATCTCTATATATCACTTTATACTAAACAAACATCTATATACATACATGTATAAATTACTAACAATTTAGTAATTAGATATCCGATCTAAGTTTATCATTTCAAATATTTCCATTATTTTTGAAGATATGAAAAAATTTTATTAACTAAAGTCATTTTGTACTGAGAGAGTCATAACAAAGTAGTAATGATTTTTCTTCTTTCATGTGATTTTATAAAATTGTGATTCAAATATCTCCTAAAATAATAATTTTTCAATATACATAGGTTATGAATGAAAAATCATGTCATTCCATTCAAAAAAGTGAAGGCGATTTTGAAATCTCCGATATTCCTCCACTTACAAAAAAATCATTACTATGTTCAGGCTTTCTCAGACTTGAATAACTTTAGTTAATAAAATTTTTTTAAATCTCCAAAAACAATAGAGATATTTGAGATTTAAGGTAAAAAAAGTCTTGTATAATCCAACTTAAAGATCAATATGTATCAAAAATTTTCTCTCTTAAGGGAAATCTGACAACATTTTTGTTAATTACATATTATTCTATATGGTCATATGCACGATCTTGAAAGGAAGGTAGAAATTTATTCGAAAAATCAGAAAGTTAGTTCGAAATTGTCTGAAATTAAACATTTCACGATCGTGGAAGGCAAAAAATCGTATTAAAGATTCTTCAAAACCATGATCTTAATCAGAAAAAAAAGTTGGCTGGAAATTTAAAAAAATGTCGGACGAAAAAGAAAAACAGACCGAATTTAAAAATTTTATTTATGACAAATAAAGTGTCTTAAGACTTTTAGATGAACTATATCCAAATTAGCATTCAATATAAACGGAACAAAGAATATGGTTAAACTGCAGATATTTATGCATTTTTGAAAAATTTGACTACAATCAAAACTATAAAAATGAAACATAAGAAATAGGAAAAAGTTTATAATATTATAAAGAATATGAGGTTTTATCTAAAAATTATTCAAATATCTAAAAATGCATCGTTATAAATTCAGAAAATTTCTATGAAAAATTATATATTAATCATGTTAACCACATTGGTAGTTCTAGCTATTCTCTATAACGTCACGTAACTTAAAAGTTCATACATTTACATTTTGGAAATTTTATTATAAAATATAAATAATTTAAAAATATCAACATTATTAGTTGCCAGATCTTAAATCATAATAAATAGCTATAATTAAATAATAATCTTTTTCTCTTATATGTAAATGAAATTCTGTTCAAAAATCTATAAACTGCATATAATATTACACATGTATAATATGTACGAACTCGAAACAAATCGATGAAAGAAAACAACCAAAAGAAGAAGAACAAGAAAATCAGAGGATAAAAGAAAGTAAAAGAAGAGAAAGAGAGGGACAGAAAGACTTGATTTCGGTGATACAATACCTGTTACTTCTTCCCAGACATCTATCCTCTCTGCTGCCCGACTGATACTGCACCACCTGTTCGTGCTCCAGATTCTCAGTCCCTCCTCCAGCGCCGTATGCCTTTCTAAATATATATTCCCTCGGTCATGGATATCCGAGGATGCGGTGACGGCGGCAGTAGCGGCATCGGCGGCGGTAAACGGCAACGACAACGACGGATTCGACGCGAACTACCGTGTTTCTCGTCGGTTGAAGAGAAAAACTGCCGACAAAATGATTTAAACAACAATTATTAATCGATTCAGTTCGAGGACGAATGGCAGGGACAAGATCGAACCAGGTGATCGTGCGAACGAGAACGTCGAGAATGGCCGGTTAGTCGGCATCGGACGTAGTCGTGGATATTTCAACGTCAAGAGTCACGACGTGTCTACTCCGATGCATCACCACACGGGTTCACAGGGCTGCCTCCTTTCTGTTCTGCCTTTTCTTCAATCTCGGAGGCTGCGCGTTTACTTGACACTGCGCATACTCGTGGCTGGAAAGCACCCCATATGGTGGCACGTAATGGGCGGATCTGTATGTACGCTAATTGAGCTGCGAGAAATAAGATCAAGTTCAATACGAGCGATGTTGGAATTACTTTGAATTGATCTACATAAATAAATGTTACAACGTTGCAACGAAATTGAACATCGATCGTTTTTTTTCTATTATGTTTTTTTTTTCTGTCATTACGTTTATTCTTCCTTTTTTTTTTTTTTTTCTTCCGTGAAAAATAGTTGATGGTCAATCCTCTACAACATCGGATAATTTGAAAGTTGCACGTTCATGTATTCAGGTTTTGAAATTTTTAAAAATTTCATCTTACTTTGCTATTGAATTGCATTCATATATCACTGCAAAATTATCAAATGACTGTATTTGTAAATGAATGTCTTATTTGCAGACACGTTATAAGAGTGTCTTATTTGAAATGTTCCATGTAAATTAATTTAGCTATATTCTTTAGTTATATTTTAAAAATCCGCAGTTTACTTATTTGTAAGTTACAAATTGTAACAACTTATCAGATTTTAAATTGTAATAAACACTTGTAATTAATTAATATTATTTTTCTCTTGTAAATGAAAGAAATTCTAAAAAGTGACAAAATGTAGGAAATTAACAAATTAACATATAGAAAACAAAATTCATTAGAGCTAACAAAGTGATCACAGAAATTTTATAAATATAATTTACAACAGTGTACTTTCAGAGATTCGGCTAATTTTTGTATAAAACGTATTAATAAAAATATATATTTTTTACTGTATCATAAACTTTTTTTATTTATTATACTATCATTTCTCTAATACAAGTTTCATATCTTAAGGATTTTATCTAAATCGATATCCAAATTTCAATCTCCAAATTTATATACATATATACGTTGTATATACATACATATATCTTTCTAGAAGCTCAATTTTAAAAACTTTTATTTTCCAAAAAAAGAATTGATAAAATAAAAATAAAAGGAAAATTTGTATCAATAATAAAATAAAAATATATCTAATCTTAAAAACATTAACAAAATTAATACTTTTTATATTAATGAAATTCGAGTAAAATCAATAATATTTAAGAATAATAATAATAATAAAATAATTAAGTTGACGAAACTAATGAAGTGATAACATTTAAAATTTTATTAATTTTATAAGAAAATTTGAATTTAGTAATTTAAATTTAATACTTTGATTCCTTAAATTATTGAAAATTCAAAGATATATTTCTAGCATTCTTTATAAAATTCAGTAAACTATCCTCAAGGACATGCATCAATAAATTGTTAATGATTGGATAACATACAGCTACGTTTCACCTTTTTCAACATTCGAAATAGTTTCGAAGGGAAAGAATTGGAAAATACGATTTTTAAACTTTTGTACAACGCCTAGAAAAATACACATGTTTGATCCTACTCGAGGCAATAGGTAGTTTTAGTTGAATTGTGCATACGAAGGTGTAAAAAAGGATTTTTATGATAGTGTTCATATCACAGAGATAGATGCACTGATTCGTCATGTTGCGTCCTGGATGTTGAAACTTTCAACTTGAAAGGTTGCGAGAAATACTCCATAAAAAATCAAATTTTAATAAATCGTAAAATATATTATTATCAAATGCCATATCGTAAATCGAATGAATGAACAAACGATACGGAACCGGAAAACTGACTATTCGGGTACGAATGAAAAATTAGCTGTTCTTTATTGATTATCTCCAATTTCAACATTTCCTCTTAATCTTAAGTCAATGTTTCATTTATGTAAACATTTTTCATATAAATTTAATATTTCCACACATCTTTAGTAACGCTTTATTTATGTATGTATATTTATATATGTATATTTATATTCACATTCTTTAAAAATTCACGCGAGGAATAGTATCTTATATCAATGTGTTTGTTTTCAGAGTGATATATACTGTTTTTACATAGTAAAATTACGCTCTAATTTTCTGTATCATATAATATTGCCTTTTAAATTGCGGTATCTTCACCTTCTATCCATTGAAACTTACTCCCTTTCTGCCATCGACATACATTAAAAGTATTTTATAAAATATTTCTTCAAATTTTTGCCATTCAATCAAAAATTAATTTTTCAAAGATCCACTACCTCTATATTTATTGGTAGATTTACTTCTTTTTTCCTACAATAATGATCGTGTTAGTGAAATAGCGAAAGAATGAAACGATTCCGATGAAATCGGAGATCGTAAATAGTGGACTGTACATGTGATTACAGAGATCACTCTCTTGAGGATTTACAGTAATTGATGTTTCTCAGTAACACTCTGTAATGATAACCTCTACATTTAGTGACATGACCTGTATAATGATGTAACTTCAGCAATGTTAATCTCTGTAATATCTCCCCCACTGACGAGCCTGTTTTATACAAGTTGGCTAGCGAGTTGTAACTTTAAAGTACAGACCATTTGATTGTCCTGACTTACAATTAGTTTATCTAAAAAGTGGTAAAATAGGTATAACAGGCACGCGAGTCATCTGCCGGGAATAACAATAATAAATGATCGCAACACAATAATCACAAAAGACCGTGGTGGCGTTAGCATTTCATGAATATTCAAAAAGGCAATAAAATTGTCCTTGATCTAGAAGATTCTAGACGAAACTATGTGTACATAGTTTGAATACATTGCCTCGCAATTTTTTTTTAGAAAATGGCCTAAACAATAATATAAAAATTAACGGTAAACTTGTGAAATGGCATGTTTTATATAAAACAAAATATTCATAGCGGATTGTTGTTTGGAAACTGTCATTGGAAACTTTCCGGTGAATCCCGAGTATAAGTTTACAATCGTTACAAAAAGGAAGGTTTTAGCTTCAAAACAATACAGAAACTTTTTTCAAATTTTTGAGTATTACTAAATAGGTAATTAATTACTAAAATTTAACTGAATTAAAAGAATTAATTACTAAAATGAATATTTTTAAAGAATTTCACCTGGATTATATACATATTTCAAAAATTTTTTCTTAACATATCAATTATTACTCTGATTTCATATGAGTCATCCTTTATATTTTTATTTTAATTGTTTAAAAAATGCAACATTTGCAATGAGAGTTCAAAACGACTTCAAGACACTGTTAAAGAAAGATTTGTGTATTTAATGAGCACGTGCATATGATGAACTGAAAAAACCGTTCAAAATTCATTCTTGTTTGTACGCTTCCATTTAAACAAACGTGAAGATGTTTTTTCTAATAGTATTTCTGCCGCATTAATTTCTTTAATTATAATTGCTCAAATGCCGAAGAAGCAGGACGTGTTTCTTTGTTTTTTTATGCGTTTTGTAGTTTATTTTTATACTCGTGAGCTGTACACACATACATAAACATATCAATTCAGTTCAATACTAGTGTACTGACTAGTGGCTGGTGGAGGGTAGGTGCCCGTGCGTGTGCAGAAACCCAGACAGCCTTTAGCTGTCCATACAGCTAAAAATATCAAAATCGGGAAAAACTTACACCTCACATAAAATTTCGAAAACTACAAACGAGCTCCAGCAAATTAATCTAATTAACACGGAGTCAGGTTTAAACAAAAAAAGGAAGATTAACGCAACTAACCAAAGCATAGACGTAGATAAACACAGGCTCACAAACGGAAACGTAGTTACAAGAAATACTTACTAGTAATATGTGTAATGATCCCACTGAAACAGAGAATAATCCAACTCACACTCCTACCAACACTGACTTACAAATTGAAATAGTAAAACCGCCTCCGATATAAACATAAATCGAATCATCGATCCTTCAGTAAAATTACTTATTATAGATATTATAGATATTAGCAAAAATATTTTTTTACGTTGTATTAGAGGATGTATTTTAGACCCTATTTGGTGTAATACTTTTTTATGTAGAATTCAACACTTTATCCGAATTCGGAAAGAAATATTAACTACTCCATTTAAAAAATTGAAGGTGACCTTTATACCTTGATAAAAAACGCTAAATAACATAAAACTGATTACAGTACTATGTATACATATGTACGTCCCCCTGGAAGCCATGCAACTTCTATCCGAAACATTTTTTCGTACAACAAATATTTTATGAGTTATTTGATGTTGTCATGTTGCAAGACTCACCCTGTATATACATACCTACATATGTATGTATATACTACGTATAACATCCATCCTCGGACAATAGCAGCCAGGAACACCATGTAATTTTTATTTAATTTTTATACCACTTTTTGTCTTTCGTGGTCTTTTGTACGTTAGGTATCGTAAAATTATCTCCAGAACAATTAAATTCTGGAATTCAGCAAACATCTTAAAGGAAGGGAAAATCCTTATTTTGCACTGGGAATTAGCTAATTAGGCTGTAATTCCAAAAGGCCCAGAGATGGATCGCGTGACATTTAGAGGAACAAATATAAAATTTTAATTTCGGCTAGTTTTTGAGATATTAGAGAATTTAAAAATACATTAAATTCTGCGTATATAAATATTAATATACTTAATGTATAAATTAATGTAATTAATGTAAAATTCGAAAAATCCTAACATTTCATCGTCTAACGATTAATGTTTAATAGAATGGCGAAAAAGTTGTACAACAATATAAGGAATAATTGTAAAATCGTATATTCAAAGGAATTGCGGATTATTCAGATCGTTCAAGAGTTCATATTAAATTGTCCAGCTCGCCCAGCCTCCTTTGCTGATCATTGTTCTTTGTCATGAGACTTAATCTTATCTCTTCTAGCAATCCTCATTGTCAGCATTTATGTTTATGTTTATACTTTTCTTATTAGGTAGATTCTATATACATATGTACATATATACTACCGATTTTCTTTACATTAAATTTTCATTGAAAGAAAACAAAATTTGAATTTTCTATAGTGAATTTTCAATCATAAAAAAATTCTCAATATTTTTAAACACGTTTGTATTTTAACAAATTTCAAGAATAGAAATTTCTTTAATTTCTCATTTGCTACATAATGTAAGAATACCTTCAAAAAAAAAAAAAAAAGTTCAGGGTAATCAAAGCAAAAGCTTTATATATTAAAAAGAATTCAAGTAAACAGAATTATTACATGATTTTTTCACAAATTTATAATAAGACTTATATTTTTAATTATTTTAAAAATTTGTTCAAATTTTTAACTCGCTTTTCTTTTGTGTTTCTACATGATGACAATCGTGATGAAAGCAATCGAAAAGAGAGTGAGAATGAGCAATACTCAGTGAGAATATATCTTGAATTCGTGTAAAATTTCAATAAGGTATAAGTTAAAATATATCATTAAATTTTTGACAAAATTGCAAAGAAATTCCGTAGTATACTGTAGAATCCACGTGGTAGGAGAGGCACATCGAAGACTACGGTTCCTAGAAGAGATAGAAGCTGCTGCCTTATGTCAAATAAAACAATGATCAGCAAGAGGGACTGAATGGGCCATTCGATCTCAAACAATTTGGACGAACAGCAACTTTTTCGCATATACGTAAGTCAATTATATAATTTATCTTACAAAATTATTTTACGAATTTATTTTACATTTTATATTAATTCTCGCACAATGAATGCCAGATAATTGTGTTCGCTTGACTGGAATAGATATCCGTACTGTTTTAACATAAAATTCAACACTCCGAGTATTGTGCCGGTGTCATTTTTGACTTGCTGGATTCAGACTACGTACACAGACATAGACTCCCCACCATCGATTAGTTTCTTATAGCAAGTCTTATTCCTATTAAAGCCGGTCACCAGATGTGACAACCATCGATAGGTAATAAACTACTACGAAGACCGAGGATACACCGACATACCTTTTTTAAATATCTTTCTCCTTTATGCATTTTCAATATAGTTATTTCTTCATCCTTTTTTTGCAATTGCTAAAACACACCCCCAACAGTAATAGCCATATCTGTTTTGTGTAAACATTTAACGACAAATAGAAAAATATAGCCTGAAGTTTATATAGTTTCTATTCACCAGCTTCAGACAGCATTCGAACAAAGTACACGCTCTATCCACTCGGCAACAGTTATCATTGTTATTTTCATTGTTTTTATTTGTTATTTGTTTCATATGTCCGCACAACAAGCAAACGAACCTTCTGTTTTTTCTCTTGTGGTGTGTGGAAGATTATCACAACAATGTTGAATAAATATTATTTCTTTATAAACCACGATACTGTTATATATTATATTTTCCTACATGTACATCTAAAATGCGAATATTACACACAATACTCACGTGTAGTGTAATGCCTTCAGCGTATTAGTGTAATGTTCGTGATCCTCGAGTCTCGAGCGATCGTCAACGTGTTGGTATATATACGTGAGCTCGAGCAACCGTAAATGCGTCTGATTAGTGGAATATCCGTGCGAGTCACTTCTGACCCACACGGATATTCATTCCACTAATGCATATTTAGGGTCGCCCGAGCGGCTCACCGATACTATACTAACACAGACTGACAATCGCTCGAGACCGAAGTCCTCATCGATATTGACACAGTGCCAGACACCCGACTTATACAGGAATATGTAGGAACATATAGGACAAATAACAATCACATGAATAATAAAGTTATATTTATTATACATTTATGTATTGTTACAGACATTACATAAAACTTTCCGTTGTTGTGTCGAATGGGCACTACAAACATACCGATCACAAGTATCGCAAATAGTTGCGTATTTATTGTTATTACCTACGCAAAAGCAACACCGAGCTCGCTTTTGCCCTGCTACTTCTGTTTTTTTTATGTTTCTCCCCGTCGCCTCTATTGCACTTACATTTTTATGCAATTCTATTTGCTGGTTTTTGAATTGTGCTCGCCTATCTATATTTTTTTCGCATAATTTCTTCCCTAACTGCTCTAAAAATATTTTTCGTCGCATTTTGAAGGTATTGTTACTTTTCCATGTAGGATACTTTATTTGATATAAAATGAATGCATTATACGCAGCAATATCGATGAAATGCATAAATAAAGATAATGGCCAACGACGGGTACGCTGTCTACACGAATACTCTCTTATACTATCCTCTAAACCATCTACGCCACTTTTAGTAGTATTATAATAACTAATTATATCAGGTTTAAATTTTTCTGTTGCTGATAATATATTATGTTCATGATGTAGTGTGGAAAGTAAAATAACAGATTTTCGTGGCTTTGGTATGTACGACACTAACGTTACTTTATCAGTAAATAAAAACTCGGATGAATATTGTGACCGCTTTCCTATTTCTATTAATGATTTCGGCAAATCTCGTTTATTTTTTCGCACAGTTCCAATTAGAAATAGTTTTTCATCCAACAATTGTTCACCTAAACTAAGATTTGTGAAAAAATTGCCAGTAGTTATACTACGATTCGAATTTTTCCAAAAATTAGTTAATTGTTTCACGACTTGTTGCCGCTGTTGTTTTTCTGGAGCATTTCCACGTTTCCCAAGGTATACATCCATGTTACAACAATAGAATGTTTTGGAATCGCAAAGAGTCCACATCTTTATTCCATACTTCCCCGGTTTACTTGGCACGTATACCTTGAAGGAGCAACGGCCGCGAAATGTAACTAATTGTTCACCGACGCAACCCGTTCCTGTCGCGTTATAACAGTTTTTACAGTTTTTTACAAAAATATTTGTAATGTCTCTCAGTGGTGCCAGTTTATCGTCTGCTTTTCTTTCTTCACGTGTAAGAGGATCGTCGAAACGAATATATTTGAGTATATCTTCAAAACGGTCCCGCGACATTGTTGCCGCATAAAATTGTCGAGACAAAGCATTGTCTATATTCCACAAATCATGTTTACATTCTCTTGATTCTCTGTATCTTCCAATGAGAAGTAGAAGACCCAAGAAGGCGTCGATTTCCGTACGATCCACCGGTTTCCACTGTTTTTCGGGCGGCATGCACTCCTTTGCCTTCTTATTTGTGTATAAAATAATATTATTTATGACTTCATCATCAATGAACAAATGGAAAGATTCATCTATCGTTTGAATATGTTCACTTTTTGTTGTCAGCGAACATTGACGAGAGGCAATCGCTGTATCCTTCCTAAATCCAATACGTTGCCAATTACGTTCAGATTCCTGGTTTTCTGGAACTACATTATCCACAGTTTCTGATATATTGTCTTCTTGCATTTCGCCTTCGGAATCTTGTATTTCGCCTTCGGAATCTTGCATTTCGCCTTCGGAATCTTGCATTTCGCCTTCGGAATCTTGTATTTCGCCTTCGGAATCTTGCGTTTCACCTTCAGAATCTTGCATTTCGCCTTCGGAATCTCGCATTTCGGGTTCAGCGTCACTATTTGATACACTTCCGTTGTCTGATGATTGTTCACTATCAGAAACGTCTTGTGCCAATTCAGCGAAAGAAGACAAAAAATCGCTCATTGAAGACATTGCGTCAACAAATGGAAATAACAAATAGAAATAACGGGAAAAAATAATGAGAACAAAAATAATAATAAAAACAGTAAATTAATAAAAATAGTAAAATATTAAAATAAAAACAGTAAATTAATAAAAATAGTAAAATATTAAAATGGTGCTAAAAACTAAAATCTAAATAGTAAATACAAAAATAGTATAAACTATTAAATACTAAATACTAAAATACTAAAATACAATGCTAAAATACTAAAACAATAATAAAAACACTAAAATATAAAATAAACTTTGAAATAAAAAATTGCTTCAATTTGCCACACACATTCTTCTTCCTCAGAATGTTACCACAAACTGACTTTTTTCTTCAGTCTTCGTCAGTTTGGTACTTTGGGGGACACGTGTTAGCCACATGACGTTTGTGTGTTAGTGCGATTGTCACTTTTCAACTAACATAAGCAGCTCCCATCACTGTGTGCGTTATTGCATTCGAGTGGCTCTCAACACAGGTCAAAAATGACTAGCACAATATACTTGTATTCGCATTTATTTATTATGATTATGATTATTATTATATATATATATGTTGTTACTCGTAATAAAATGTCACTAGATTCAACTCAAGAAATAATTTTCGATGGGGAAACGGCAACATTGTCCATATCTTTTGATTTTAATTTCTATCGCTAATAGCAATGCAGTGCAATACTTGTCTAAATCGATACGACAGGATGCGACACGAAAATGGTAAGACCTGGCATATGAAAAAGCATTGGATGTCTAGTCTATGTTAGTTAGTCAATGCCCTAAGACACGAGTCCTATTTAATGTCCAGTCTACCCTATTAGTCAATGATGAGACAGAAAATTTGATAAATTATTTTTTTATTCCTCAGATGTAGGTAGATTTATGAAATTTTTAAAACAAAATAAATATTGCTAGAATCAATTAAATTACAAATAAATTACAAACAATTAATGTGTATTTTTTTCTTGTTATATTTTCCATAATGATATTTACAATGACAAATTTAAAAAATTTCTACTATATATTCTTTTATAATTCTATTAAATTTCTTTTGCTTAGTTACAGAAAATTTGGTACAGAACAGCCTTCATAATCATAAATCATATTTTAGGCACTTGTAAAACATTTAAGTACAATAAGTAGAATATCAATACAATATTAAACAAGTGAATACTTCTTAAAATAATACTCAGTATGATTTGCTTGTTTTTTTTTTTTTATCAATAATTTTGATAATGCAAAGATAACTTTTCTCCAAAATATTTAAATTTTCTGCTTTCTTGTGAAATATAATCTTTCTTGTTTATTTCAAACTATGTGATCATGAAAACGCGCATCTGAAAATTTGTTTCATTATTTTCTAATCAACAATCTTGAGATATTGAGATATTCAGATAATCTTCAGATATTTTTTTATGTGATTCATAAATTTAGAGAGACTAAAGGACATTGAAATCTCAATTTTTTATACTATTCACACTGTACTCTAAGCATTGAATTTTTTGTTTGAAGTTGTTCTTGATTTGTTTTTTATCTTATTTATTTCCTGATATTTAACATATATATTGGATACTAACATTTCAGCTAATAATTTTTTACAATTTCACAATAATGTTTGTAACTTTTAAAATTTCTTATATAAATTTGTTACTCTTCTATGACAGTTTGCTTTTGATTTAAAGGACTATGTAATACTTACTAACAATGTAATCTACTTATATTTAAAATTGTTTATTTGTTTTGAAAGCCGTTCTTTGAAAAATATTGGAAAAATGTATATCATATGATTGTTGGCAAAATGTTCTTAAAATTGAATTTTTTTTGTATTTATAAAAATTTTTATATTACTTTATATGTAATAAATATTTATTGTATCTTTTTTTTAAATCATCTCTGAATTCATTTACCACATGATTTGTATGTTGTATAATGCATTGTATGCACTAATGCATTTTTTTTTTTTGTATATTTATAATATAATACTACAGTAATGAGTAAATGTGATTATTATTAAACAGCGCAAGACAAGGACTATTCAATGATGGTTTAACCATGTTTATATATTCGGGGAGGTCATTTGACCATATCCTCTTGAGTCTTCTCATTACAGTTTGTCTGGATAAGTCTTTGATGAGTCTATTTTGATGATCTAGATTTTTTGTTTTGTGACTCGTTGCACATTGGTTTATTACATTTTTTTAGAGACAAACCACGGTGGATTTGTGATTTATCGGAGAATTTTTGACTGAAACGTCTATAGGATTTTTGTATTGGATGGCTTCGTGTACTCCCATAATTAGATTCCATATATGCAAATTGGAGTTTATATGCAAATTATTGTCTTGTATAATAGAAATTTATTTTCTAATGACAGTTGATTTTCTAGTAGCCAATACATTTTCTTTACTTTTAATATCAGTTGTTATTTTTTGGCCATAATATGAGTTTTCCATGTCAGTTTTTGGTCAAGATGGAGAACAAGATAATTCACTTCACTTTTAATTGGAATTGGGGAGTTATTATTATTCGTGAACAGGTATCTTTCCTAAAGGTAAAAATAATTTGGGAAGATTTGTCATTGTTGATTTTAACCAGGATTGTAGTTATATGATGTTAAAGTTTCATAGACGCAATGTTTGCGCTTTTGTGGGATGGTAATACAGCAATATCATCTGCTAAAGTAACGATTGCAGTCTCTTTCGTTTTTGGAATATTAGCTGTATATATAAAGTATAGAAACGGGCCTAGAACACTTCCTTGAAGTACTCTAGCCTTTATGGTTAGATATTGTGTTGTTTTGTTTTACTTGGAAGAAACTATTAGAAATATATGATTTCAAAATGAGGTAATAGTGAGTCGGCAAATTTCTTTTTCAGTTTGTATAACAATCCGTCATGCCAGATCTTGTCAAAAGCCTGTTGGATATCCAGAAAGACAGCTGCATATATTTTCTTGCTTCCAAGACTTTCCATAATTTTGTGTACTATCTTATGACATTGTTGAATAGTGGAGTGTTTTTCCCTGAAGCCAAACTGATGGTTAGGAATTATTTTTTCTAGTAAGACATTTTCTTTCAGTCTTATGAAGAGTAGTCTTTTAAACACTTCAGATAGCAGTAGAAGAAGACTTATTGGTCTGTATGAACTTCTCTCTTTGAGTATTATTTTCCAGCTAAATCAATGCATTTATGTATTAATATATTAATATATTAATCATTAAAAGCATTAAATTAAAATACATTTTTAATGGAAATTAATTTTATTTTAATTTATTCATATTAATTATCTACATTTTAATCTATAAAGAAATTAGTTATAACTGCATAACAAATAGTAATATAGCTGCATACTCATTGATAAATTTATAATATAAAATTATAGTATTCTTTTTGTAGCATATTGAGCAACTTAACTATGTACTAAACAAGTAATAGCATAATTGTTAGACAATATTCAATTATAATTAAATATTTGCTCCTCAAGATTTCATTTGGATCCAAAAAATTTCAATGATAACAATGTCCTTTTATAATCTAAGCTTACAAATAATGAATTTCTATAATCTTCAATATATCATATATATATATATATATAAACATTTATATCCATAAAGATACAAATCATATGTTACTGCAGCAACATTCTATTTCTCTTTAATATAAATATTTCCCCTTTTTAATTAGGATCTGATAAACATAAAAAAATATATAATTATTTTGTGCACAAAAATATAATCAGTAAAGATGTATTTTCCAAATTTCAAATAATTCTTACATTAGATCAAGACTTATCAAAAAATGTCGGAAATTTTTAATGTTTATACAAAAATACATTATTGTTTTGTTTAGGTCAACAATATTATCATATTTTTCAATAAAATAAATAAATTTCTTATAATTTTTACATTAGCATAATTATGTTCAAAAAATGTTTACAGTATAATTGTTTAAGTATAATTTTTAAAAAATTGATAGTAAAAGTTATTATTAAAAGTTAATATTAAGTGATATATAATGTAAGTACAATTTTTGGACATATTTCTAACAACATTTTGTAACATATAATATATATATGAAACTTATTTTTATTTTTATTAAAACATAAAAATATTAAAGTTAACCTCATGTTCGTATTTATTTCGTATTTAGTATAGTGAAACATATAGGTTATCAGAAAACTAATATATTAAGAAAAATTAATTTTCACATATTTCAAATATGGAAACTTTTCAAAAAATCGACTTATCGAAAATTTAATTTTTGATAATACTGCTGATTATTGTCAGGCATCCAGAAACTTATAATTCTATTAATACTAATTTCTATTCCCTTTTATTTTTATTAAAAATGAATAGTTTATTGCATTTTAATCAAAAGATAATATAAAAAATAAATATCATTTGATATATTACATACATTTTCAATGTTTAAATTTATTTATTCATTGCTTTTAATTTTTTATCGAATATTTATCATGTTTAGTATCACCATATGTATGTATGTACCTTAATATAAACTTTGATTAGTCAAATAACAGTTAATGTTTGCCATTCAAAAATTAATTGCAGTATAAAAATATTCACGATGAAAAATTTTAATAACAATTTTTTGCAAAATAGTTTCATTATTTTTGGTAATTTATATGTTAAGATTAATAGAGAGTGGAAAGAAAAGTTTGTCCGTGGCTATCATAGATGAATTCGATTTGATGGAAATATATGTAAAGAACTTGCCATAAAATTGAATTTTAAGGTCAAAATATTTTTTTTCTTTTTGTATTGTATCATGAAAGTGAAATTTTTCCCAGGAACCATGAATGGCAACCTAATAGTTCTCTTGAAAAATAGTAAAAAGTTTCTTAATCATTTAATGCTGTGGACACATGCGTGCTAATAGCGATTCTGACCGCGGGGTCAATTTTGTGGCAGGTTCTTGTCTATATGTATATCAAATCGAAGGTGTAGAATTCAACGGACAAAGTTTTCTTTCCATCTTGTACATATGTACGTCTATGTGTTGATGAAACATGACTTTGTTAGGAATATACCAATTTTATAATAAATTTATTATTATGATCAATTCATTGCAATGAATGATTAATTCATTTTAATTAAATATAAAATTGAAGAAGTATTTCAAATTAAATAAGTGTAACTGTAAAGTGTTTATAATTTAAATATTGAATAAATTTAATATAGTTTTAATTAATTATTCTTTAATTACAAGCCAATAACATTTTAATCAAAGAATGCTTCAAACTATTATCCAATTATTTTCTAATCATTACTTTATCTTTGATATTTGTTATCTTTTAATGAAAAATTGAAATTTTGTATTTGAGTTTATTAAATTTTTCTTTTTATTTAAATTATGTTTTTATTATATTATCTTTTCCTATTGTATTATTGTTCCTTATATTTAATTAAGTTATATATATTCTATTAATTATTTGTCATATAAAAGTATAAAAATATAAAACAAATATTTAACAAAATATATCTTTTACTATATTGCTTTTAATCTTAATCTATTTTTTTAGGTTTGATTTATATCTGCTACATTATAATTTATAGATAAAATTTTACAAACTATTAACTCTCAATTATTATAACTATATAAAACTATGGATAATATAAAACTTTTCAACAAATATTGAAACAATTAATTAATTAATTCTCTTATTCCCTATTATTTGTACATTTGAGTTTCAATTTACCAAATCATCTTTAGTTTTTTATAATTTTGCTGCTCCTTAATTTTTTTACTTTCTTCATATTTTTTTTTTTTTAATTATAGTGTATTTTGGCATATTTCTTTACTTTCTTCTAATATTTTTTTTTGTTTTTCTTTACATATTTTATTGAAAGCTGCAACATTCCTTCTTGTTTGAGAATCACTTCTGATGATCTTTTTTTTCTAGATATCCCCTTTTTATTTAATTTGCCTAATAGGTTACCTTCATCTTTTTTTTCATATATGTATTTCATGTTTATGTTTGTTTATGTTTGTTTATGTTTATGTTTATGTTTCATATATGTATTTCATGTTCATGTTTATGTTTATGTTTCATATATGTATTTCATGTTCATGTTTATGTTTATGTTTCATATATGTATTTCATGTTCATGTTTATGTTTATGTTTCATATATGTATTTCATGTTCATGTTTATGTTTATGTTTCATATATGTATTTCATGTTCATGTTTATGTTTATGTTTCATATATGTATTTCATGTTCATGTTTATGTTTATGTTTCCTATTCCAACAATTGAAAGTATTATTTCTTAGTAAATTTCTTAGTAAATTAATCTAGTAAATTTCCCTAGCTCCCATTTCTAGTAAATTTTCCTAGTTCCTATTTCTAGTAAATTTTCCTATTTCATGTTCATGTTTATGTTTATGTTTCATATGTGTATTTCATGTTCATGTTTATGTTTATGTTTCTTATATGTGTTTCATGTTCATGTTCATGTTTATGTTTATGTTTCCTATTCCAACAATTGAAAGTAGTATTTCTTAGTAAATTCCTTAGTAAATTAATCTAGTAAATTTCCCTAGCCCTCATTTTCTAGTAAATTTTCCTAGTTTCCATTTCTAGTAAATTTTCCTATTTCATGTTCATGTTTATGTTTATGTTTCATATATGTATTTCATGTTCATGTTTATGTTTATGTTTCTTATATGTGTTTCATGTTCATGTTTATGTTTATGTTTCCTATTCCAACAATTGAAAGTAGTATTTCTTAGTAAATTAATCTAGTAAGTTTTCCTAGCTCCCATTTTCTAGTAAATTTTCCTAGTTCTCATTTCCTAGTAAATTTCCTTCAGATTCATGGTATGTATCCACTTTAATATCTCATGAACATTCTTATATTTGGTTAGTTACAAATTTATCAAATATTTTTATTTTAACACGAAATTTTAATTTAAATTTTTAATAAATTTAATTAATTTGTTTTATCAAAATGTTAAATTACATTTAATAATATAAAAGTATTTTATTCTATTATTCATTCATAATAAATTTTTAATTTTTAAATTTTAGAAAAAATAAATTATACATTAGAAATATAATTAAAAATTTTGTAAATTTAGTAATTATTATTAATAATTTTATTTTTATAAAATCAAATTTGTCAAAAATTAAAAAAAGATTATTTCTGTAGAGGTTAAGAATTTTTTTTTTAAAGAGAAATAAATCCTTAAATTTACTAACATTTTTTTTCAATACTATATGCAATAGCAAACTTAAAAATCTAAATAATATATAATATTTTATAATACAGTAACAAAAATATAATTTGCTGAGAAACATTTAAACATTATAGAAAGATAACATAATGATATACAGTCTATTATTTCATTATAGATTACTGTTTGTGTTTCCAGATTATTGTTTTGATGACTGCATAGATGAATTTATCCCTAAACAAAAATTCCTATAGTTAATGCCTCAATGTGAAATGGATAGAAAAATAAAGTAAAATAGTGATATTCGAATCTAATTTGAAATGCTGATTTTAAATAATCTACATAAAAATAATTAAATATTAGGATTTAACATACATATCATAGAAGCATTTCTAAACTTTCAAGAAATGGTGAAGATAATCAGGCTCAGTTAGCAAGATAAAATTCTGATCAATTAGTGTCAACGGTGTTGATTTTAATAAAAAATTTTAGTTTTTTAAAACTTATATTAGACAAGAAGAATAGTTTAATTCTTGTTAAATGTACAAATATATTCATCAATTATGGTAAATACAAATTTATATGATTTATAAATACCATTGGCGTAGAAAATAACTTTGGACAAGCGGCCATGATTTCTGACGTTGCTAATGTATTACGAGTAGAACTACTAAGAAAATGGCCGGTAGCGAGTGTTGATCGGTTATATTGAAATCAGTATAAAATTTGATCAATCGTTTATATTAAAATCAGTGTAAGATTTATTATAATGAAATTAATTTGTGATTAAAATGAACGTTTCTTCTGTGACAAAACAAATTTCGTAATGGTATGTACTGATATGATTTTTCTTTATGTATAATAAATATTTGTAATAGCATGGAATCTTCAAGTTTGATTTAAAAAGACAATGAATTATCAGGTTTTTAAATAAGAGAATATTTAAACAAATTATTGTATTAATGCAAGAACACATTATATTATTAATGTTTTTTAATAATATAAATATATGGTATTAATAATATTATCTCTATTAATAATAGTTTCTTTCTCTGTATATTTTAGGTGATGAACTTTATATATTTAAAAGTTTAGAAACATCAGTATGGCAAGTCCTTCGCCACAATCATCTCCTATGCCTCCACCGCAAGCACCAAGTCCTATGGGCCCTCCTCAGCAGGCACCATCACCTTCTAACCCTCAAGGTAGCCCTATGGGTCCACCGCAGCACCATCCTCATAGTCCAACACAAGCCTATCAAACTGGTCCACCAATGCCACCTGGAGGTCCACCTATGTCTCAATCAACTCAACAACCTCCACCACAACAGCAGAATTATCCATCACATCCGCAACAAATGCAATCTGCTATGGGCCCACAGGTAAGAATAAAATAAGTATTAATGAGTATATCTTTCTTTCACATAGAAATAATGTGTTTTATAATTTATAAAAAAAATTTTAAAGAATAATTTTCTAATAGGTTAGGAAATAAAAACATATTTTTAAAACAATAGAAAAGAATTTTTATATTTATGTATTATGCTGTGAAATCTTATTCAAAATATTATAGATCAAGAATTAAATCCAGAGGTAGAGAATATTCTCTACATTTTTCATATAAGAGAAAGAGAATATTCTCTACATTTTTCATATAAGAGATAGAGAATATTCTCTACATTTTTCATATAAGAGATAGAGAATATTCTCTACATTTTTCATATAAGAGATAGAGAATATTCTCTAGATAGAGAAAGAGAATATTCTCTACATTTTTTTAATTCTCCAGAGATAGAGAATATTCTCTACATTTTTCATATAAAAAATATATCAAAAATATATCAGTTTTCAAGAAACTATATTAATGCATAACAACATTAATACATAACTGTATTAAAAAAAATTTATACTTTAAATATATGCTATAAATTATACCAAATTTATCATATTTAAAGTATTAAAGTATTTAATATATTTAAAATATATTATAGTAAAAAAAAAAGAACATTTCATATTACTTAATGTTGAAGTGATATTAATTACAAGAAATACTTATTATACTTTGTAATTTTATATACACTGGCTCACAAAAGTGTTCGAACACATGCAAAAAGTAACTGAAATAGTTAGAAAGTTATATATGTTAAGACTTAAACTTTCAAGATAGTACTATAATTGATATGAGATACAAGTATCAAGATAATACACATAAAATTTTAAGTTAATACAGATGTATTGTAAGGAGGTCACAAAAGTGTATGAATGGAAGAAATTAATTATATCTTACTTTATATTAATATTTAATTTCTTCTTTTACCTTAATTACTTCTATAGAACCGTGTTATACATCAAGTTCACTTTGGACTTAATACCCTTTTAATATTTTAAGGTTCTTCTATATCCTATACTTGTGTTATGCATCAAGTTGGACTTAATATTTAAAATTTTTCTAAAATTTTTCGTTTTAATTATTCTTTTGAACTACTACCATAATTTTTTAATCTTTAGTATATGTGATGTATTATACAGTAATTATTTTTGTATAGTCTTATCTTAATGTTTAAGGTCGTTATTCTGTTGAAAATAAAAATTTTCAGGCTTAATTTGGAAGCACTTTTTCTTAAATTATTCTTTAAAATGTGTAAATACTTTATTTAAAGTTCCTTCTATGAACATAATTTTCATAATTTCAAGTATAACTGCCATACATCCTTAAACCGTGTTTTACTATATTGATCATAAATTGTAAATATTCATTTCTATGTTTGGTCTTGTTTACATATATGTCTATTCGACTCATAAATATTGAATTTACTGTCATTGGAAAAAGTTATAGTGTTCTAGAAATTATTATTATTGTTTATTATTTATTTATTTCTTCTCTATTATTATTATATCTCTATCATATTCCTTTGCAAATTTTGATCGTTTAACTTTATTAATCTCTATTCATGAATGGCTACTTTGCCATTAAAATTATTCTTCCGGAATATTCTGCGACATAATTCATACTTTATATAGATAGTTTTAAGTGTCTTTTAAGTGTCTATTATCTACATAATAGACACTTTTTCCAAATTTCATTATTTATTAATAATTTGTTAAGAATAAGTTTTATTGCTGAAATAGTCGGATCTTTACTTCTGTCGTGAATAACAATCTTCTATTTTCTTTTACTTAACTTGTTCAATTGAGTTATATGATATTTGTTCGTTATTGTTTCCCCAATTTTTTATTTTTTTATAACGTAATTAATTTGGTAATTTTTAACATTTTATTTGGTAATTTTTCTATAGGCTTTTTTGTCTTGTATTTTCAACATAATCTGTTTTTTTGTATATTTTCATTTCTCTATAATTAGTAAGATATTTTCAATTTTCTATAAGCACGGCGATGCCCCACTAACGATGTAGTATTTACTCTATGATGTGAAATTACCATTATTTATATTTTCTGAAGCAAAACATTATTTATCCCATTCAGTTTTACGTGTTCGTACACTTTCGTGATTTCCTTACAGTATTTTTGTGTAATAAATTTCTACATACATCATTCAATTAATTTTAAATTTTATATGTTGAAATTATATCTTGATACTTGTCTGATAGCAGTTATAGTAAAATTTTAGTTTAACATACATATCTCTCTTGTTTCAGTTATTTCTTGCACGCATTCGAACATTTTTGTGACCTACTGTAGGTATTTACAATTATTAATAACTTTTTATGTACTTATAGAAAATTTCATAATATAAAATTGTACAAAAAAATTATATAAAATATTCAAATGCTACAATAATGCTTTCAATAATATGATGATAATATGTAAGACAATTTTCTACAAAGTTCTGTCTTTTTAATCATATATTGAAAAACACTTAGCATAAAAATCCACAGTTTAATTAAAATTAAATTATTTAATTAAAATTAAATTTAATATTAATTACAATTAAATTTAGTATATTTGATTGTTGATATTAGTGTTGATCTTAATGTTGTAATTATTTTATTGATAGTTATTTAAATGGAAAATTTTATGAATATTATATGAATATTATAGTACGTACACTTTAAAATTTCTAAATATCTTTTATGTTAACCTTTTTAAAAAGATTAATTAGCTGGTCAGCAATTTGATGATGATTGTTGTAATTCTTGATGATATTAAATCTAATTTCCCACCTAAAATTCTATGAAATAAGATTAAGATTTAAGAAATAATTAAGTCGAAGAAATAATTAAGTCGTAGCAAATGTAATTATATTGTTGAATTACAATTTATATTGTTGAATTACATATTTCCATAAATATTAAGATATTTGCAAAAACTAAGGAGAAATCACAACATGCAATTTTAATTTTTCGATAAAATTTTACACAATAGTGGAGCTTAAAAAAGAAAAGTCAATGATATAATATTTAAGAGTTAGGCATATGATATTTAAAATTTTTATATTTTAAATGCTTTTTAATAATTATTTATTTATCATGTCCACCTCATAGATATGGTCGTGTCTCCTATGTTGTCGTGTATGTATGTATGTATATATGTATGTATGTATGTATGTATATATTTATTTCAGCCTCTTTAGCCTTGAAATTGACTTTGGTTTTTATATTGCTTTCTCTTAATATTGCGCATTTCACATTGCATTTATTCTAAATTTTTATATGTAATATATTTGTATCCTATTTTGCTTTATCCTATACTTATATTTATCTTAACTATGCTATTCTTTTGTCTACTTAAGTATCTTAACCTAATTTTTTCATTTTATTTCATGTTTATTTTGTTGTTCTCTTCTTTCTAGGCCTGCATTATCTCTTGTTTCTCTTCTCTCTACCTCTCTTTATCTTTTTCCTTTCTATTCGCCTGAGCCATTTTACTGCTTCTTTCCCGCCCTCTTCGCTCAGTATCTTTTCCAGACTTGCATTCGTTGTCTCTATCTCTCTACAGTCTTTCCAATGCTCTGTTCCCTCTCCATCCTCGCACAATTGACATTTCTGTTCTTCTTCGCTCGCCCAAAATTTACTTCCATTTTCTAGGATGCTAGCATTTTCTTGCTCTGGCTATCATCTTCTGTTCTCCATTTTTTTTTCTCTCCTTCAGGTATTTTGGTAGTTCTCTTGTTACCAGATATTTATACTTTTAATTGTATCTCGTCTTCTGAATTTTGTTCCACTGCCTTTGTCTTTATATTTCCGCTTTTCTTTTCCTTAGTAATTTCTCGGCTGATTTCTCTTCTCTCCACAATTGTTCTACTCCTGTCTGGTTAAAACCGCATGTTTTGAGGTGATCTTGTCTTTCCTTTATTTTTTCTTGGTTCTCTTTTCCTGCTTTCCTTCTTTTATGCATTCTTTGACTATTCCTTTCTCTCTTTCTTTTTCTATTCTTCTTTCATATTTTATCGCTTTTTTTGCCAATCTAATCTTCAGTTTCTATGTTTTTGTTTCCTCCATGATTATATAGTCTGGTGTCCTGATGTCCAGACCTAACGTCCATTTAACATATTTTCTCTAATTCCGCTTTTTCCATCTCCATACTTCTTCTCCATAAGCCAGGATTCCCACGATTAAACTGTCGAATCTTCATTCTTCTCCCATAATCGTCTCTAAACATTCTCTCTCCTATTCCCTATGCATGCCACATTCGCTTTCTTTGCCACATATTTTATGTGTTCATTGTACTTCCCGTTATTCTTAAGTCGGTACCCTAGATATGTGAATTATGTAACTTGTTCTATTGCCTTATCGTTCCAATTTCATGTCCCTTTCTTTTTCCTTCATCTTAGACTTGTTCTCATTTAGTACCGGCTTCTTTCCGTCTAGATATTTCTGCAGCCTTCTCATTATTTCCTTCATCTCTTTTTCTTCGTTTGCTAGTAGGACTATATCGTCTGCGTATGAGAGTGACCAAAACTTTTCCCCCCCCCCCCCCCGTCTTGTCCCTTTTTAAACTCTTCTTCTATGTCCGCTATGAAAATTGTAAATAGTGTGGGGTTGAGTGGACATCCCTGTCTCACCCCTTCTTCTGTCCAGAATTCTCTTGGCATCTCTTCACCCGCCTTGATCTTATTCCTTGTCTCTGTGTATATTTCTCTAAGCCTATATCTGCCTTTTCCATAGTTTCCCATAGCTTTTCTCTGATTATTTTATCGAAGGCCTTATTATACCGCCCTTAAATCTATGAAAAAGATGTACAGCTTTCCTTTCTTCTTCTCTATTGCTTTCTCTGTCACGTGCTATAATATATATATGTTATCTATTGTCCCCCATCCCTTTCTGAAATCTGCTTGGGTATCTGGCAGTATCTTTTTTCGCAGTTTCGATCTCTTTCTTGATTCTATCATTTAGTGTCATTGCATATATTTTATATGCGGTAC